GGCCCCATGGGTGGCAGCACCACGCGTTCGCGACCGCGTGCTGTTGCCGACCCTGGACCCAGCATCCCGCGCTCTCCTCCGGTCTTATAGGCTGGACCCTACGCCGGTGCTTGGCTGACCGCCATTCCCTCGGATGAAGCCCACGTCCTTGCTCCTGAGGCCATGCAGATCGCGCTGCGCCGACGCTTACGTCTCGCCTTGCCGCTTACCTCCAACACCTGCGGCAGCAACATGCCCGGTTGCGGCCGGCCCGTAGACCCCCTGGGGGACCATGCCATAGCATGCCCACGCACGGGATTGCTCGCACGGCGCCAAAATCGCGGAGCATGCCTGGGTCCGCGTGGCACGCGAAGCCATCGCGCCCGAAGGGCAGGTCGTTCCGGAGCAGTGGCTCACGCACACGATTGCTCCGGGCGTAGCGTCCGATGACCGCCGCCGACTCGACATGGTCATTGTTGGTTATGAGGGTTAAGGGTTGAGGTGATGATTCAGTGACAAGTGAATAATGACTTGGATGAGGTGAACCTTGGAGCCTCTGACGAATCTGATGTGGTACGTCATCTAGATGATTGTAACTAGAGTTCATGATAACGAAGGGACTCCAGGCTCACAACCCCAAAACCACTATTCTTCAAACCCTCATCCCCAACCCTCCGCCGAGCTCCAATGCAAACGAACCTTTCGCACTTCGTCTCGCCCTTCATAGGGCTTGAGCCATGATATCCATGGCAAACGTGTCACCTTGCGCAGGGGCCATGCTTCGACGGCACTGCTCGGTTTGTGCGTGTCATCCTGTTCAGGTCAGGGCTCAAAAGCACAAGTCAACAACACTCCTCCTCAGCATACGTGCGCTGGCGCACGATATGCTGGATCATGCTGAACAGGAAAAGATGACATCGCATTGAGGCGATAGTACTAATCAGTGGACTTTCCACACGCCTGGTACATGCAAAAGACAAAACCCTCGAGAGCACTGATGACAGTATCTCTCGCCCAATCCTGTTCACCGCATCGGCGGATGCAGGATCATCTCACCTACTCCTGGCTCCAGGTTCCTAGGCCTAGCAACTCGCATGCACTTTCCAGCTTTCGGTAACTCAAGCTCTTCGTAAGAATGTCGCCTTTGATCTCATTCGTTCCGGTATGCACTACCTGGATATCTTCATGAACTACCGTGTCTCGAATCCAGCTGGTTCTGATAGCAAAGTGTCGGGTTCGCATGACCAACTCCGAGAACGTTTCTCGGGTGCTCAGCGTGATGGCGCCACTGTTGTCGCCATGCAAGATGCTCTTGAAAGGCCTGCTCAACATCTGCTCTAACAACATCGTCACGTGCCAACCTTTCTGAAGCCCACTCGCCATACCCTCCAGCTCAGCTTCTGTTGCACTCCATGCAGTCAGCGCTTGCCTTGTTGAGAGATAAGCGATAATATGAGCATCAGGGCCATCACCTATGGAGACCGTGACGCCAGTACGTGACCGGCTGCCCCCATTGGCATAACTGGCGTCTGTGTGGATGTGAACGTCGTTGTTTGCCTTCAGCGGCTTGTACTGCATGCATCGGTTCACCGTGTGTCTGAGAAAGCGCCATAGCCCTTTGGTCAATCTCAGTGTTTCGGTTGGGTTGTTCACCAAAAGACATGCTGCCGCTCCCACCGTGGACATGATATCAGGACGGCTGCGGAGGCCAACCCACATCAAGGATCCGACTTCACTTTGTCCCTGCTTGACCCGTTTCTGGTACTCCTCATCGCGTGGCTCTGGGGGCAATGTTCCTTCACATGGATCTGGCAGACTCTTCGTGCCGTTCATGTGCACATACCCGCGCGATGCCAATGATTGAAGGATCCACTTACGCTGTGTGACCTGGACCGTACCATCTCCAAGGCGTTGAATCTGACACCCCAGATACACCAAGGAAGACTTAACAGGACAGGTCATGTCATCCCATGCAACTGCATCTTCTGACAGGCTCGGGTGTCGTAGAACGCCTTGTAGCTTGACCTTCCACAATGACTTCATCCCAATGGCGGTCCTTCGCAAGGTTTCGGCGTCTCCAATCACCCACCCATCGTCTACATATGTTGTTGCTATACCAAGCAACACTCCAGTATCCCTCTCAAGAATCTTCCACAGACCCTTGCATGCAGGAATGGGTTCAAACACCATGACGCCATGTTCATCGTCCTTCGCCGGGTCAAGAATGAGTTTCGTGATCGCTTCATCCCTATGTGCTTCCCAATCCACGGGAGACTGTCTCAGTCCGTATAATGCTCGGTTCAGAATCCATAGGGTTCCCTCGGGAACCAACCCTAAGGATACCAGGATTGGTGCAGGTCGCACCACGACGGCCTTTTCCCCGCGAAGCTTCGCATACAAAAATGCGCAACTTATATCGAAGATGAGTCCACTCCACTTGGGATTGTTCGCGAGCGCTGAAAACATCAAGCGTAAGCCTTCACATTGAATGTTGCAGGATGCGTACTCTTCCTTTGTGTGTGCTGATGTATCCTCGAAGTTCCCGCACCCCACAATGCTAACGCGAGCCTTCCAAGAATTTAGCTCCGCATGCTGTTTCGCTGACTCCGCGTTCTTCTTGATGTCTTCCTCCATGACGACAGGTTTGCGTACATTCACAAGTTTTGAAGGTATGATCTCTGGGATCTCGTCGGTGTCTTTCAAACCCAAGTCCTGACGTAATGTGCTCCATGGCTTGGCGTCCACACCTGCAGTTTGTCCATGTTGTTCAATTCTTCCTTGGCTGCATCCACCCACTTCTGGATCTCAGCCTCGGTACCGGTCTTGAAGACATCATTCGTCATTGTGATCCCGGAGGCTTGGTCCAAACCACTCAAGATAGCCTGCATCTCCTCCTCGATGGCGTGTTGCTCCTCCTGAAAGGTTGCTATGTGATACTTTCCGCTCTTCCCTTCCTCAGCTGTTGGCTGCGCTGCAATTACGTTAGCCTGGACTGTGTTCGCCAACAGCTTGTCCACAACAATGGTTTCTGGCTCCAGGGGATCTGGATCTGGACCTATGTCCTCTGGGAGCGTTTCCGCTCCCAAGATACTGTGACCAAATGTGGTGAAAAGCTCCAGCGACTCCTGTGCCGCTCTTGGCCAAGTTCGCTGTTTAATGATCCTTTCCAGGTTTCCAGAGTTACCCTCCGGACCGTGAAGCCTCTCCTCCACAGTGAGAATACCTGATGGTGCATCCTGGCCCCATACAACCTGACCGTTACTGCCTACCCAAACCCGTCGATCTCCATCTGGATCCACTGACACTTTCCACCTAACAGCTGGCTGATGTAGCAAGACGGGAAGTCGCGCTCTGATCATCTTCAACCCGCCGTTGACCATACACAGAATCCATGAACCATGCACGCTACTCACGTTGTGACCAATGAACACACCACAGTTGGCCCTCTCCTCGAAGTCACCGGCGTCCGGCCGTTTGATGGCTACCCAATCTCCCATCTTCGGAGTCCCCTTAGGAACTGGAATACCCATAGCCCGCATCCTGGAGTACAGAGCAGCATTCTGCACCGCATACGTCCAATACGTCGGACTCAAAACTGAGTGAACCAACTCTCTGATGGCCGCCTGCTTGAGCGCCTGCACTCCTCTTTCGACTCGACCATTTGATTGAGGGTTATAAGGTGCAGACTGGGTGTGGAAAGTGGAGAACCGGGTTCCAAGCTCCTTGAACAACTGTGCCTCAAACTCTTTACCGCAGTCTGTGTGCAGCCTGAAGAATGGAGGAACCTGAAGTGATGCTAACTGCGCCATAATCCTCACGGTGGCCTCGGCAACTGTACTCGCGTGCTTAGTCTTCGTGGGCTCCGCATAGTAGAGGTTTTTTCCGTTTGGCAGGCGGTACACACCGATCACAATGTATTTCATCTTATCTGCTGAGACGACATCCTGAAATGTCCAGAGATAGGTTAGCATAGGATTTGCTACCGTCGCTGACGCTTCTGTGAGGCCTAATTGCCCCTCGGGCGCGAACACAAGCTTCGCAGTCCTTGTCATAACATCCGGCATGACACTTCTTCTTGAGGACCTCTAGTGCTTGCTGATACGCCACCACGTCAAACAAGTCCGCATCAGCAGATGGCTCAGTCAGTGATGAGCCCTCGGGATGACCGGTCACGGGCGCTTCTCCATCAGGAACGTCTACAACTTCACCGACAAAGACTCTCGAAACCCCTTCCGAAACATCACCATCGTCCTGGAAACCCTGAGTTTCGCCTGAGCTTCCCTGAAGACCCTGACTAGAAGTCGCGATGAGGTCATCGTTCTGAGGTACCTGAGTGGGAAGGCTGTTGTTGTGCTGTGATGTTTGATGTGTGCTGCTCTGATGCTGGACTGCTTTGCCAACTCCTTCACAGTCTGGAAGTGGAAATCCCAGGGTCAAAGCCTCATCACGATCTGCACGCTGCACCTGTAGAGACTTGCTTCCTGGCACAGCATATGCAATGAGCATCGTCCGCGTCCCTTCCCAAGTTTCCGTCCCATGATAGAGTTTTGGCGAAAACTTCACCAATCGACGACATACGTCGTGGATATTCCCACTCATCTCGACAGCATCGGCAATTCGGCGTACACATTGCCCATCCTTGTTCTCGATCCACAGCTCCCCTCCCTTGCACTGCCGCCGGGAATTCAAGCAGATCGCTGCATTCTCACTCCCGGAGAGGTTATGGCTATCGCGATGTGGTTTGAACGCCACGTTCCTCGTTATGGTCAGTGTCGAAAAGATCAACTCAGGATCAAGACGCCGCATCAATGCACATAATACTCCCCCTTGTGTCCACATACCAAACGTCCATACATTCATGTGTGTTTCTTCTGATCCCTGCATCACCCCTGTGCGTCGCACTCTCTGTGGCTGCAAGTTTGTGTCCTCAATCAACCTCAGAACTGATTGGCATGTAATGTGGCCCATTCCCTTCTCAAGTAACTCTCTCGCAAGCTGCTCTCCACGTTCCACATCAAGCATGGTTTCTCCGTGACTCTGCATCTTGGTTATGTTCATCTCGGTTGTCTGGATGTCGTCAAAGTTGATCACCTTGCACACCTCAGGTCCGTCTGCTCCTGATGCTGCGCAGCATGCCCGTCCTCGACTGCGATACCAGCGAGTCAGGGCCGGCCTCAACTTGACGAAGACTTCCCGAGGCATGTATGGCAAGCCATTGTCAATCGTGAGTCGGACGGTCTCCCACTGACAGCACTCTGGAAGGCGCAATACGGCTCCAAATTCATCCCAGGTGAACCTACACCCAATAGCAGCCAACCTACACAGACCCAGAATCACCTCTTTCCCACTTCCCTTGACGACCACTTCACCCTCTCGCGTCCTCGCTGCTGAGATTGATGTATTATCCGCTAGGGTCAAGGTAGTAAGAACAGCCCTTGATGGCAGGGTCACTGCTTGTCGAAAGATCTCATTTGCGCCACTATCAACAAGGACCTCGCGAACATCATCATAGCTCTCGGTTTGAGCTCGGTTTGCCCTAGGCCCTGAAGCCTTGGCCTCGGTTACCTGATAGACTTCTGTTCGTTTCGGTAATGGTGCTGCTTTGGATTTTGCCTTCACAGCTGGTAGGCCGTGCTCTTCGCTCTGATAGTGTGTTGGCAAAGGTGGTGGTGGCTTCGTTACTACTGGCGTGATCGGTGGATGCATGATCTCGCTCCCATCGGACTGAACTCGGTAGTAGTTTCCTGCTGCATCAAAGATTGGAGGCCTCTTTGGTGCAGGGCTTGCATGTACCTTGGGTCCTGCAGCTTGCGATGGCTCATGCCTTGGCGGCGGTGGCTTCGTCAATACTGAAGTATCTCGCGGCCTCTGGAACCCAGGTCTCTCATCTGATTGTAGCATGAGCATGCACCTTTCATGACCTGTAGGCACATGCATGACACAACACACAAACCCCTCCTGATAAGCAGCTGTGTCCTCATTCCACACCAACACAGCACTAGCACTCAACACCTCGATTTCCTCGTTCAGTGGGCATCCATCAAAGGATTGATCAAGATCAGTTTCGCGCAGCATCAAGAACAGACCCCACTCGACATCATAACTACCTGTCACCCTTCGGAAATAGGCAGATCCCACAGATTCACTACGCCATCGAAGATACTCATCCGAAGTGATGTCAGCTGCCCACAAGCTACGGTTTGAGAAATGACTTCGCTGCTGATGCCACTCCTCAGAATCCGTGCTTGCCATCAAGCTTACAGTCTCAGCCTCAGTATCATCCGAATGGGCTTCCGTCCACTCTGATAGAGATGGTAGGCTTTCGCCGGTGCCTTCTCCACGAAGCATCTTAGCGAACCCACGTGAGATTGAAGTAATGCTTGATGCCTTAGGTTTGGGTCCCCCTTGTGTTGGCGCTGTTGTTTCTGCTCCAACCAATGCTTTTGCCTCATTTGCCTGCGAATCATGCTTGAACTTGCACTTGTCACCCAACTTGCACCCGCCTGGTCTGCCAAAGAACTTGCATCGTCGTTCTGATGTGCCAGCGACCGCTGCTTTGGGCTTGGGAGCTGGTTTTGGGGCTGCTTGCTCATGTTTCGGCGGATGCTTGTAATGACATCGATCCCCGAACTTGCACCCACTAGGACCTTTCAGGAATGGGCATGGTATGGTAGATTTGTCTCCACCTTTATCCTTGCCCTTACCCTTACCTTTTCCCTTGCTCTTCGCTGCAACGGACTCGCCTTGGTTTTGATGTCCTCGCGTCACCTCGTCGGCTGCCAACTGCCTGACTTCCATTTCTATGGCCTCAACTAACACATCAACCCCAGTCGGTTGTCCAAGTTGCACGGCAGGAGTCAAACGAGCTAACGCCAGCCTGGTTCTCAGAGAATCATGGCGACGCTCAAGATTTCGGACCAATGTCTGAAGGCCCTTGATCATCTCAACGGGTGCTGCCTCAGGTAAACCCAAGGCCTGCACTCGAGCCTTAGCCAGTTTTTTTTTTTCCACACACCTTTTTCCTCGCCAGTAGCTGTTGCACGGTGACACGACCGAGCTCCAACGTCTACGGCTACGACTACCTTTCCTCCGAAAGCTAGGTCTAGCACA